ACAAGTCGTGTATTGTATTCAAGTATAAAAATTCAACTGTTCGGCCAAATAGACCTTACGAATTCCATACGTTGGCTTTATTGGTTATGTATTGCTCGAATAAAATTTTGCTCGCCTTCGTTTCGTACGTTCACGCATAAACGTAATTAAAAATCTGTGGCTTCATTTAACGCGATTTACATTGCTAATTGGCCGTCTATTTTTATAGCAGTTTATTGTGCCGCGATTATATGAGCGCGATAGCGTAAGTCGACTCGCTCGAGTATTACGGAATTGCACTAATTCATTTGCAGATAAATTATAAGGTTATTCCTTTCGAATAGAAAAAAATTGCAACACTTCGCCTAGTGGCGTTGAAACTGGACAGTTAGCCAATTCAAACAAGTGGAACGAACACCGAACGGCTCGGTCTACGCGAATCGATCGACGTAGTGATTTTTTTATGATTCATGGTTTCCGGGCGTTCTGGCCATGTTCAAATTATTTGTTTCTGTGAACTTTTGTCGTGTTTTGCACGACCAACAGGCGAGACGGATTAAATCTCATCGATATATTAAGTCGAGGTTGATTGTAAAATTATTATTTTTGGAATGTTGTGATAAGACCAACCGCGCCTAGCAGTCATCGCTGCTTTAAGAGTATACTTACGTCATCTTCTCGACATAAACGAATTTCATCGCTCAAACACATCGAACGAGGGAACATCGTGTTAACAGCTTGAAAACAAGATTGTTTGGTACTTTTGTTTTACGATACAATGTATTTAATTTGACAATGGAAGACTTTATCCACCATTATAAAAAGAAAATGTTTCTAAATATCCTCGAAAAATAGATTCGACTCTGAGTCTATTTTGACCCGAATCTGAATTTCATTATTTTGCATTCCAATACAAGGTTTTTGATTTCATTTTTGCGTTATCGTGTTTATAAGGTCTTTATTTATTAATGTCGTTATTTTTACATGCTCACTGGAAAAGTATTGATTAAAAATCAAAACCATATGACTCTGAAAGAAATCGTTTGCACGAGTTCAAAACGGATACGCTCGAGAGTCGTTTCGCCAAGTTCTTTGTTAATGTCTAACAATTGGTCAAGTAGCTTCGCATAAATGAACGTATCAGCATAAGTTATCGGCGTAGGTTGCAACCGGTAGCCACTTGGTAACCGCATACGAATAGCGTATGTGGGTCGTATAGTCTTCTCAAGCCGTGTGTTATCTGTATGTGGTCTTCGCTTACTTACTTGAGTAAGTAATTCTCTCAACTTCAACCGACTGAGCGGTTTTCTCTGCGTGTATGCGTAGACAAGATCGTGTTACAAATGCCCAAGAAGCGCTTCTGTTTCTACCGAACCATCTGCATCCGTCTGGATTCTAATATTCTGAATAATTCAAGAGAAAATTAATCTCAAAGTTTTCATTAGGGCATTATTTAACGAACAGTGATACAAAGTGAATTTTTTTGGCCTCGCATGTTACAGAACACTCTGTATAGTCAAATCACGTTGGAGATAATGTCTATTTAAAAACATGAAGACATTTTGTACTAGGAAGTATTCTATGTAGTATATAGAATGCAAGAAAGTTACTTAACCCTCTCTGTTTTCTCTCCACATTTATCTTTTTTTCACTCTAGTGTAAGCCTTACGGTTTTGTGTTATTTTGTTTTAATATTATGAAAAATATGGTTGAGTTGCAATTATTTACAGCACTGTAATTCTCTAGTACGCATTATCTTTTAACGATATCTAATAACAAAATGATGTGTTATATAGATCATCGTGTTACTTTTGTTCAATTTATTTAATCTGGCCCTTAACGATACTATCTGACTGTGAATAGTGCTTCGCGTGACGACGTCCCAAGTATTGTTTCCGTTCTTCTAAACCTCACAAACGATTGGTCAACAGGGGAATTTTGAACGGATTTCATTAATCTTAGAAACGATTATTTTTGTCTCTAAAGTTTAGTTTGTCAGTGGTATTATCACTCAATATAGTTGCAATTATTTACAGCACTGTAATTCTTTGGTACACATTATCTTCTAACGATATTTTAACCCCCCTTGCACTACTCTGAAATTCAGAAGAACGGAATATCGATATTTACGAGTTCGACTCGTGATATTTATGTTTTGACAAAATGTCGATTACGAGTCAGACTCGTGAAAGTAGTGGAAAGGGTTAATAACAAAATGATGTGTTATATAGGTCATCGTGTTACTTCTGTTCAATTTATTTAATCACCCCTTATTTGATAAACTGATCTGACCCTTAGCGATACTAACTGACTGGGAATGGTGCTTCGCGTGACGTCTCAACTATTACTTGTTTCCGCTCTTCTGAACCTCATAAGCGATTGTTTAACGCCGAACAGAGAGATTTTGAACAGATTTCGTTAGTTTTTCCAAAATTTTCCATCCCTTACATAGTGTACAGGTTGTTATTAACAATTTTATTTAAAGAAACTATTTTAAATTCGCAACCGTTAGTTCTCGATGTTACCACGAGGGGAAAAGAGGTAGATGAAATCCAAGTTCCATCAATCTTCCTTTCACATTCTTAGATTACTAAAGTTAGAAGATAGAAGGAATCAAAAGTTCCTTCGATCTCCTCGTTTATAGTTCCGCCAAGCAATTATATCAAAGAAAACGAGGTAAAGGAGATACGCGGCGCGACGCCATGTTGCATCGTGCAACAGGTCTTAGGATCGAGTCGTCTGCTTGTTGGGTAATTCGATATAGCAAAATGAATTCCTGGCAAAGGGAGAGTAGGCCCCCGAAATCGCGAGATCCGATCCCCCCAAATGTCCCAGGGATACTGAAGAATTCGTCAGCAGTGGCTTGACCAATACCCCTTTGTGAAATGATGGAAGGGTGGGGAGAACTATTTCGATCGGTCCTATCTCTTGTCCATTACTGGATCTTCACTGAACCGCTAGCCTTGATCTTATTGTTGACCATCGAACAACCAATGTCCCATTAAAACTATCACGGAGTCGAAGATTAAAACCTTCTGACAAGAATTCCCTTATAATTTGACGCATTATCTTTTTAAGATTTCGTTCCACTTTGAAGGAGTGTATTTTAAGTTATAAGACACGCATGGCACAGAAGTTAAAACTAGGAAATCAAATAGTAAATGTTAATCGAAGATTCTGGATAATCGGCACAATAAGACATTTATTCTTTTATTCTCTAGTTTTGACATTACCAACTCAGTCCGGGCACAAGAAAGTCGAACGGAATTAAAATCTTCTTACAAGAATTCCCTTATAATTTGACGCATTATCTTTTTAAGATTTCGTTCCACTTTGAAGGAGTGTATTTTAGGTTATAAGACACGCATGGCACAGAAGTTAAAACTAGGAAATCAAATAGTAAATGTTAATCGAAGATTCTGGATAATCGGCACAATAAGACATTTATTCTTTTATTTTCTAGTTTTGACACTACCAACTCAGTTCGGACACAAGAAAGTCGAACGGACTCGCAGCTTTTTGCACATCTATTCTCGTCGCTTTATTATTACCGTGTAGTAACAATAAACGTTGCGTTTGTAAATAATGGCAAACCTGTACGTGTTTGTAAGGGAAGAGATTTTCTGCGTTTGCTGACTTTGATTTCAATAGTTCGATTGGCTGTAGTTCTCTGAATCACAGTTTTTTAAACGAAGAGGTCGCTCGAAAACCACTAGTTTTTTTACCGGGTCGGTATTTCAGTGCGACATCAATTTCTATGAGATGGCTGGTCTAACTGATACCTCGTCTGTGATGACAAAATCAGGTTACTCGCCATCTGACAACAGATATAGTTGCTTCAACTGTATCAATTTTATTATCAATATAAACGAATACATATAAATTTCTTTGGCTCGTAAGTAAAATCTGTATGACATCCTAAAATAATACATATAACCATAAACTGTTGAAGAGTGTTAATATAATAAATAATAAAACTGTTATGCATCATTTTACTGCCCATTCTTTCTACATCTTTCTTGCGAGCACTCGATCGCTGCCATTTTACTATCGTTAATGTTGCGTGTGCATGCATGTACGTATATCGAAAGTTGACGTTAACGCCATACGAGACCTCGACTTGCATTTTCGAGCCGTTATTTATTTCTCCAATAAAGTTATTTCTGGAACACCCGTTATTCCGCGTGGTGCTTTCACGAGTCGCGCGAGCTACGATGGAATATTTTTAAAAGCAGTTTTGCTTCGACGGCCATCGGAGGAAACGATTTTACACCGTCGCGAAGTGCGTTGCAGTGCACGCGATCCTTTTTATTTTCCATGAGGCTTTCTACTTGTCAGGTGCGTATATTTAGAGTGACGAGACATTCGCCTAGGCGCGCCACTCTCGAAAGGTCAATGGATAGGGTGGTATTTCTATGCGGCGAAAACGACAGTTAAAAACCAATTTACATTCTCGCGACAATCGAGCAAAACAGCGTCTTCGAATGTTTAACGCAGCCTCGATTGCAATCGAATATCAATAACTTGTAAGTTGCAAACAGCTTCCAACGTTCGCATTCTCAGATTAATGTTAACCAAACAAGTAAAAAAGTAGCGTTTAATCCGTGTACGTGCAACCTATTGCTGTTCGAAAAGCGATATGTAATGCAAGAGCAAACAAATCAGCACAAGCTATTTGGTATGCTATGTTTTTTGTCGCGGAGCGTAGGAATTCTTAGTCGAACGTTTATCGCGGTCAACGACGTTTTCAAACGGTGAAAGTGAAATTCTTCCTTCGGTGCACAGTTCCAGCGTTCCAATCCTTCACACTTTCGCGCCCGTTCACCCTTCCACGTTGCTGGACATTATTCGAATACTTAGCTAGGAATAAATATAAATGATGACTGGTGGTCAAGAAGACTGGCAAATTGGGCAAAAATGATAGCATTAAAATTTATTTTCCTTTTCTGGTATTCTAAGGTATAAATCATTTTTCCATGCAAATAATCTGCGCTGAACTCGCTGAATTTTATTTGAACGCGTGCACCTCCGGTGTATCGGTGAAACCAAGATGGTTTCCAAGGTGCAAGGAACGTTTGATCGATGCTCGAGTCTGTTCAAGGTGTTAGCACCGGAGCCACAGCGAAGGAACGCGCGATGCCGAGGAGACGAGACAAGCGTCCGCTCAGCTGGACGCTGGTCGCCGAAAATATCGAAAATGTGGAACGCGTGAAGCTCGATCCCGAGACGCAACGCGAACTGGGTTGCTTGGTGGGCGAGGACGTGTTCCTGGAATACCCATGGGCTTACGCGAACCGAGACGTGGTCGTGCGAGTCGTTAAACGGCTGGAATCGCCTCTAACGGCGTTCAAAGAGAAGATCTACGCCTACGAATCGAACGCGTTCCTCGTGGGCTACGCCTCCACGCGACTGATCTCCGACGATTTCGTGATCTGTCTCACCGAGGAAGCGAAACGTGCAGTCGAGGCGCGAAACAAGATGATCACCAGCGCCATCTCGAGCAGAGTGCTCGACAAGATACTGAAAACCGCGAGACCGTGGATCTCGTCGGGCAGCGAGTCGGAAGTGGACGAAATCGTCGCGAGAAACACGAGGGAGCTGTTCGAGATCGAAATCATATTGCCCGGCGGCTCCCTAGGCTCCGCTCGATGTTTAAGCGACAGGGATTCGAGCGGTTGCAGGGACAGCTACGCTGAACTCGTGAAAGCGAACGAGGAGTACGAGAACATCGACAGGAAGTGCGTTTCTCGAGCCGCCCAAACTCACTCGCAGCCTCGAGGAGCGTTTGTTCAAACGTATCCCGGGCATCCTAAAAACGCGTGGACGCAGTACGCGTACGAGGACGCGTTGACAGGGCAGGTCGAGGCCAACGAGGAGCCCCAAGATGGCGGGGAGACGAACGACGAGGAATTGGAGCGTACCGACGACGAACGATCCAAAGGGAGAAGCGACGCCCTGGATGAGGAAAGCGACGACGAACCCAGAGAAAAGACACCCTTGGAATTGTTTCTGGAGGCACGTTCGCCAGAAATGATCGACGCGGTTAAGTATAACGCCGCGGTGAATGTGCACGTGGACGACATTGAGAATTTATCGCGGGGTAAACGATCGATCGGAACGCCCGCCGAGGCGGCGGCCTTTCGCGAGCAGTTGTCGTTCGCTGATTCGAACAAAGCTATTTCCGACGTTTCCTTGCCTGCGGGATCGGTGGATCGCGCGGCGATTTCGTACGTTAACGAAAATCGCTCCGCGGTGCTCGTTTGGAAGTTCGACGATCCACTGCGCCCTCTGCATCGTCTACGGCATCGTCGAGAAATACATTCCGTCGCGTTTTGTCCGTTCGACGCGAACCTCGTGATCGGTGGCTGCTCTAGCGGTCGCGTGATCGTCTGGAACACGAGAGATCACAACGAGGAGATAAATATCGAGATTCCCGCGGTAGCTGTCTCCGACGCGAGCTGCTCTCACCGACTCCCCGTCCGGAGGATCCAATGGATGCCTGCCAAGTACAAAATAGAGCCAAATGGAAAGCTGACAGAGTCGTCCGTCGCCGCTGGCCGGCAATTTCTAACTGCTTCCGAGGATAGCACCGTCGCGGTGTGGAATCTCGACGACAAAGTTCCCGAGGACGCTTTCCAACCGATTCTTCGCCTTCGAATTCCCGGCGCGAACGGTGAACCTGGACGGTTGACGTGTATGCAGCTGCCGTCTGGCGGCGTTCTTTGGAACCAAGGCGAAAGCTCTCGAATTACGAGCAACCCGAGCTTGTGGATAGGCTGCGCGGATGGACTGATAAGGTGCACGTGGGACGAGCAGATGTTTGACGAGGGAACGGTGAATGCTGTCGAGTGCAGGATCTTGGGACGTTCGTGCATGCACGACGGTCCCGTTACGGAAATTACACGGTCGCCGCATCTCGAGGACGTGATTCTGACGATCGGTGGTCGCGTGTTCGCGGTTTGGAAGGACGACTGTTTGGAGAGGGCGCTGTTTTGGCGGAGAACCTGTTGCAGTTACACCGCCTGTTGCTGGGCCAGCGAACCGGGCGTTTTTGTGCTCGCTGGCGAACGCGGGGTACTCGAACTTTGGGACATAAAGAACGAATCGAGCCAAGCGATCGTCTCGCAGACGGTATCGTCGAAATCGATCACCCGTTTGTTGTCGTTTAATTATGCAATGGCCGGTCAGCTGTTCCAGACGATCGGCGTGGCGGACGAGGGTGGATTTTTTCGCGCGTTCAGCGAACCCGAGAATCTTCGCGGCGACAGCACGATCGAGAGGATGGACTGGTTCGAGGAGTACGTTTGGAGAGAAACGCGGAGGAAGAAGGTATTCGCCAGTTGGCAGAACGATTTTCTCGCCAACGATCCGGCCATGATAGCGAAAAGATCGGCTAGGCGTGACGAGGAACGCAAAAAAGAACTGGATGAGGCGAGGGAGAGACTTCGACGGGAGCAGAAGGAACGCTCGAGATCGAAAGCGGAGAAACGGACGCTCGGCGCTCCGAGACCGAAAGACGTTGCATGGTCGTCGAGGGAGCACGATAGAATGAGGTCCGTGCTTTTGGGCAAGAAAAATTTAGTCCCCTCCGAGTTGGAAGCAAAGAGGCTTCCTCTTGTTCTCCGGGAAGAGGAGAGAGACACGAAGCTGTCGAAAGCTCGAGACGAGACTGCTCGTTGGGAAACGTACTTTTCGAGAGCGCTGACCGAGGAATTTCCCGAGATTCCGAAGTCGAAGAACGAGGCTTCGAAGCCCGAAGAACCAACGATCAAACTTGCAACATCAGTCGACGATTGTTTGCGGAAATACGATGAAATACGTAGTAGAGCTCGGGAAATGTTAACGAACAATTTTACCGATTCGAGTTGAAAACGATAAAATGTTTAAAAATTCATAGACCATCCATTTATTTATATATTTATTTCCCTACAACTTTTACGCCCCGCATATGTATGTATAGTGTCTCCCCCTCTTCCGTTTATCACAGAGACTTTGCACCGATACCAGCCCCAGCCTTCGACACTTCGTAAATATACTTTTCGTTAACAAATTTTACTGCTTCTACTGACGGAATACGTGAGAAAGATCGTAGGAAGATAGAGAAGAAAGGGTGAAGAGGAGCAACTTCGTCCCGGGCCTGCTAGTGGACTCATTAATTAACCCCTTAGCTGACAATGACGTCTCAGAGACGTGATAAGTCTACCGGGGCAAACATGAATAAGAAGTCTCAGAGACGTGATAAGTCTACCGAGCCAAACCTAGGTGTCGCTTTTGGCACGCACAGTTGGAAATTAAATCGTAAGGCAAGGGGTTGTGGCGCTGCGGGTAGGATCTCAGGAAATTCGTAGGAGGACAGAAAAGGAAAGGAGGGGGCGCTAGTGGACTCATCAGTAAGGCTTTCTAGCAGGTCCTGCTTTAGACGACTGGGGTATTGGTAAGTCGTTCGAGGAATGTATATATAGCAACCGAGGGGTCGGTCGAGCGCTTGTGAGAGCGCGACCTCTCTGGTGGCGAGCATGGGAAGCAACGCCACAGAGTTAATAAGGCAATTCTAGCAGGCCCTGCCTTAGACAACGAGATATTATGTAGTCTATATAGTATAGAAAGGGTCAGTCGAGCCCTCTGGTGGCGAGTACAGGAGAAAGATTTATAATTTGTATGGTTATTGAAACCAAAAATAAACAAGACACAATAAGAATCATCGGAGAAGAAAGAGGCGTAACATATTTGTTTTTTGTTCGTGGGAAGATTAAATAAAATTTAATCAAACGCATACGTGTATGGTGATTGTTTCAGGCTCTGGGCATATTATGCATGGCATGCGCATCTCCGGCACGAGTGGGCGCAACCCATTGGTTTCTATTCGTCGCCGTAACAGCGTTCATCGCCACTCTGTTGTGGTGTTTCGTTTATTTGCTGTCCATTCGAGAGGCGCTTAAAATACCCATCAACTGGATTTTGACGGTAAGCAATGGAGAGTTGCCCGAACGCAGAGTAGATCCAATACTTGAAATCTTATCGTTTGCAGGAGCTTTTGAACACCACGTCGTTTGCCGTCCTCTACATGATTGCCTTCATCGCTCAATTGTCTGTCTGGAGCGCGGTACATAATCATTCTGGTGTTCCGTCGAATATCGCTGCCGGGGTAAGAATAATCGACTTGTATTTTTTTTTAACATTTTTGATCAGTATTTTAGTATTTTAATAGTAGTAAAAATCCAATTATCATTGACACGTTCAAATTAAAATTAACATTACGCTTTAACGCGAACTAAACTTTAAAACTTGTGGCTAATTACATGTTGTCCCTTTGGTGTTTGCATCACAGGTATTCGGTATCTTGAACACGCTCGCGTACGCCGCTGGAGCGTATTTCCTGTACGTAGAGTGGAAGAGCAGCAACACGCAGTGAAGAAGATCGGTACTCGAAGAGACGCCAGATACCTGAAGAGCAACTCTATGGCGGGGCTACTACACTTGGGGTTCTCGCGGTCCGTCGGTCTACGGCCAGAAATCAACAACCACGAACACGGTCTTAAACACTATCGAATCCAGAGAAATCGATGGTTCGGAAGAAGCTAGTCCAACGTGACCCCTCCCCGATCGTGTGTCGTAGCTTAACGAGAAGAGACTCTATTAAATTATGTGCCTTAAGATATAGCCGGTTCGGCTACGCGTTTCGATCGGTCTCGTCGTCGACCTCGAAGCAGCAAAAATTACGTCTTACTATATAATTACTTATATATATATTGCTGGACGACCACGAGAACGTCGAACGACCGATAAAACGAATAGTAAGTTAAACAGATTTTTGCACGTGCCTAGGGCGGGTCGTTGCGCCGACGTAACACCAAAACGACTGTACGCGAACTTTGTGAATATTTTTTCACACGCCGTTCAGTGTTTCTCGCGATACAAATAGTTGTAGTCGACGAGGATGTTAGCTACGGTTGTTTTGTAAAAATCGCGCCCCATGGTCGATAAGGTCCATATTGGACGTCGATCCGTTCGGGCGTTTTTCGAGACTTATCAATTTGCAAATGAATATTCTCCCGGTCGTTGGTAAATACGCATATCTCATGCAGCACTGTTTCCATCCAGTTAACTTCTAATCGTACCTTTTTTTCGCACTATCGCGAGTTTTTATTTATATGTATACACAAATTATATATATACATACATACATTTATATATACATATATATATATATATATATATATCTATTTTACGAAGATAATATATTTGCACAAATCGAATGCAGTTCATCGTCTTTGTTTTTTTTTTTTTCTTTTATTATTATCTTTCACTCATACGTAAAGAGCACCTCTGTATTTCGCATTCGTCGATATAAGCGTAAGAAAGGAGAGTCGATCACTACATAAATTTATGTTTGCAAATATATTGTATTCTCTTTTGCGCGCATTATCATCAAAATACATACACGATCGCTTACGATTCGTCGCGTTTCGACGTCAACATCGAAATGTAAATACGTGAGCTAAGAATAGGTAAAATTTCGAACAATTTTCACTTTCGTTACACGACGTATGACGCAGTGGAGATCGAACGTAGCGCATTTTATTTTATTCCCCCCCCCAATCATGGTAACAAGCAACATCGAATGACGCGTTTGTTCAAGAAATTGTGTTTTCTCCGACACTGTTGTTCGTTAAGGATTGTCAATATTTGTTACGTGTCGTTAATCATGTACAAAGATATGTACACGTATGTGCGTTTGAATCATTTTCTTTCTTTTTGGAAAATATCATTTATTGTTAAGATGTGGATGATTAATAAAACAATGCCAAGTTCAATGTGTATACCTATTATCGCATCGTCTACTACGGGGTTAGAGTTATAGTAAAATTAATTATGATCAAATTTCTTTCGTAAAATGAAACTTTAAGCGAGGTTAAAGATGCCAGGCGGAGCCCCGAGTGTACCCGGAACACCTGATTACACTTTCTCACACTATTCACCGATCACGCGTACGTGAGGTCGTGGAGTTACGGAAAGTCGACAAAGGCAAACTGACGCATGCACTCTTTCTCGATTCTTCGAAGCTGCCCGAAATAATTTCGGACCGTCTCGTGGGAGTCGAGAGAGGAAGGCTCATTTGCCTTCTCGCACTTGAACATGCGAGCTCACGTACGCGTGATCTGGCATAGTGCGAGTAGTGCACCCGGTGCTCAATCTGGCATCACTGATCCGACCTCACGTCAACGGCATACGATTTGGAATCTCGACTACCCAAGCATTTTTACTTTACGGCCTATGCAGGCTCACATAAGCAAAGCACCATAATGAAAAAACACGTTAACCATGCAAAACAACGTTGAAAGTGCTTCAAATTAATTTTTAACAGAGTTAAGCACAGAACGGGCAGAATTGTTTATATCAAACTTCGATAATTCCAAGCAAACTGGATGAAAGCATTTTTGTTGACGATAGAGAATTATTTTTATACATATTTCAGGTTGAAATAACTTTAAAATTCTTTTACAACATTTACAGAATACAAAAAATAGTTAAGCCCAAAAAGGAACTCTGTTTAAATATCGCGTGAGTCCGAGACGTAAAAACTCGGCCGCGATGCCCGTATCTATAATGAATTCGCGTAATTCTAGAAGGTTCTGCTGACGGAGAATTTTTTCTTCGTTAGATTAGTATACCGCGGCCATTTTCGTGTTTTTGCTAGCTAGCTTCACTGGAATTCTCGATTCTGAGAACAAATTCCAGAAATCGTGTTGTTAGCGCCGAGAGAGAGAGAGAGAAGAATCGATTTATCGAATCGAGATCGACAGCCGAAACGCGGCAGCGCCGCGTCGTGGCTATGCGGCGCGTAGCCGCCCGGGCCCAGCAGCGCGATGCGTCGCTACGCGACTCTGCGCTTGCGCGACGGAGCCCAGCCGTGGCCGTCGATGCTTGCAGATCGTTACGGATCATTCGTGAGCCGTCGGCGATCAGGAGCAGATCCTGTGACGATCTCTCCCATTTTCGTACGAAGCTCCGAGGAGAATGAGACGATCTCTCTCCTCGTAATCGAATCAAGTTTGCGGACATTCATTTATTCAGGAAAATCTCGTCATAGCGACTTGAGATTTTCTCGAATAAAAGGACAATCTGCCTGTTGTTGGAGCGATCACTGTACACGCTGCGCGTGACGCGATCGTAGACGCAGGATTGTGATTGAACGTTGCAGTTCGTTGCCGCGACTGCGACGTTAGGGATTCGGTGTTAATCACTTTGAGTCTCTTCCTATTGAATACGGTTTGAGCCACTGTAACGGAGATACCGACATACTGGTTATCGCCTGGTGGTGGTTCGCCGTTCGAAGGGATCGAGGAACACACTCGAATCGCCCACATAGAGTGCACCGACCGGTGGAGTTGTGGTTTCGTCTACCCGGTTGTGCGCGTCGGTGATATCGTAAAAAACGAATATCACCGACCAGAAAGCAAAATAATACAGTCCACTAGCTATTGCACTGAATTGCCAGTTAGCTCTCCCCTCCAAGCACACCAGACTGTCGATGGAGCGCGAGATAAGCAGCTGACGAGCGCGTAATCGTTGACTTGTCCGCAAAATAATCATATTTGCCGGAACTTCTGTTACAGAAAACCTCCGACGCAGTAAGAGAAGGACTGGAGCAAGAGGCGGACCAAGCCGAAACGTGAGCCTGTGTCCAGTTAATCTTTATTTATCCGTTTTTCCGTTTTGTTATAATTTTTGTACGAATAATAGATTATATTTTTTTGTAATAAAAAAGTTATTTGAAAACTTGTAACAATTTCTCTACCCTGTCTTTTCCCTCGTCCGGAACCACAGTTAGAGTCCCTGAGTACTCTAACAGACTCGAACCTACGGTCAAAAAAAAAACTTCCAACGGTTTTATGGTCTGATTTACCTCTGCGCCAACGACGCCATTTTTAAAACCTAGTTTTTCAATTTAAAACTCTGAAAAAATTCCACAATATGTGCCTCGGTATTCGAAGTGTCCTTGAATTTTTTCAAATTTCTATATACTATAGGACAAGAGGAATTGTGAAAAAACATGATTTTTTTTGCCATCCCTTTGCTACTCCTCAAGTCGAGATTTCTGATTAAAAATTCGTTGAAAGTGTTTGGATAAGCTATCGAATGATTTGGGTGCACTTTTGATCCCCTTATTCGGCCACGTCTGGCCCTGAGTAGCGATTATGTGAACCTTTTGTTTATTTTTTCCGCCTCGTCTCGCTGAACAGAATATAAAGGTGCTTCAAAGTTTTGAACGGCAATGTACGTATAATTATATTTATTAATATATCTGTATTTATTATTATGTCCTAATTGTACGAATTACTTTCGTCCCTAGCTGTCGATAAAAGCTTCGCCCGATCTCTGACCCATCGTACTGCTTTATTACAACCTAGAACCGGCCAGTGTTCGTTTGCACAGCTTCGCGCAGACGTCGTATTTAAAAAAGGAAAGCAAATTGCTTCGCCCGCTTATGATATCATCAGTGACGTTATTCATGGCACCGCGTTGGAAACACAACCGTGAAACCGTCCACTTCAGTCAAACGCAGACGGTCACTGCGCGACCACGTACCTGAATAAGGTTAGTTTCACTCTTTTCTACGTAGCTCGCTGTGCCTACTTTTCCTAATTATTGTGTCCAATTGTAAAACGCGTGGCTAGCACGATGCTCGTTATCGTCTAGACAAAACGTGACGTATGTCGAATGCTCTTTACGGAAAGTGCAACGACATCGGGAAACGAAAACGACCTATCGACACGAGGCAATTCTTACACCGCATTCGCGAGTTACAACGATGTTTATGGTGTAGTTGTTACTATGTTTTTTTCTAATTTCCATCAAGTGTTGAAAGACGATAATCCTAGACATAAAAGCATCCCGTCGTTGAACGAATTCGCCGATTTTCTTATTAATTTGTATCGACGGAGACTTCGTAGCGTAGGTGAGGTTGTTGTTCCATTTAAAAATAACCGGTGACAGCACATTGCTAATTCGGGCAGTGTCCGTAATACGTTTTTGTTGTTCCGTTACACGAACCTTCCTCAAGCGTGTAGCTTTGACACTGCGGATGAAGCTTTATTTTAGTTTTATCAGCAATCGTTCGAGAAATGAATTGAGTCACGTATGTGCTTAGTATTTTTTTTTTTAAGTTTGTATCATCGCATTGTGCGTAATATCACCGGAAAAAAAGAGAAAGTGGTTCTTAAGGTCGTTCCCAAATATGGGTGGAATTTGATTAAATATAATATCGTTCTATAATTTCAATTTTGTTTTTTGAACGAATAAAATGATTATCTTTTTTAAAAAAAATCTTGTAAAATTAAGTGTATTATAAATCAGAGAGTGACAAATAAATTTTTGTACAAATATTTTGAAATTTTTAAGGAATAAAAGAATAACAAATATATCTAGTTTATTTCGTTGCACATAGAGATACGAGATTTGTATCTAGATAACAGCGTTGGCCATCTTTGACCAGCCAGGCTTTATCGATCAGCGAGAAACTTTAAGGGTGCGATGAGTCTGAATGGTAGAAAAGGGAAAGTATCGTTCCTATTCCACGCAAGGTTACACTCGCGCGTGGTTTCGTGTACTCTCGCCATTCAACAACAGACGATCGATTGAACGTATTCTCAATAAAGCTAGGGATGAAAGAAACTTGTGAGAAGCATAATTCGTTGTTATTTACTATCAATACTGTATTACTACAACTGTACACCTAACTTCTACATAGGCAGAAAAATGGATTATTTGTGATAGATCCTACTTCGAGTAATAAACATTGTATTTAGTAAAAATATAACTGCTAAGAGTTACATTTTAAGTTAGGACAATTCATATACAAAAAACTGTTTTAAACAATGTCTGGTAGGGGATTGATCGGTCTGTGCGATGTAATTTTTTCGTTCGATATTTTTGGTTCATTTAGAAGGAAAGTTTCCAATACTTCTCGAGGCGAGGGGAAAAATTCCAAGTCGCTTGAGTAAATGAAACACGAGACACGATGCTATTCCTGGGTATCGAGAAAGGGAAGAGCCGCCATTGATAATTTAGGCCGCGCTTCGAAATCTTGTCCTTGACCCTCTTACCGCCCCCGCAGACCACGAACGCAACGCGCTGGAGTTGCTTTCTACAATTTTGTGTTTACCAGTGACGGGGACACTTTGTAATTACAGTATCGATAACGAAGGGAATGACAATGTCGCACTCGGTAACAATCAGGACGCAAACGGTGACTAGCAGCTCTACGGCGGTCATCGTCAACAGTGGCTACTTGAAGACGTGGACCGGCTTTATAAAGTTGTTGCAGTTGGTAAGATTTAAGTAATTGATGTTTCAAAAAAACATGCCAGCTTTGTTAGAACTGTTTCAAACATCTCTCACCGTTCTCAAGATATTCTGCATTTTCTAAATTTCACACTCCCTAAAAGTTATAAAAAATAGGTGCTCGTTGTGGACGACTCACTCTACTTGTTCGCAAATTTTCATTATTTTTTTAATTTCCGGCTTCCCACACGTTTTTCCCGAGTATTTGAGACGCAACTTTTTGTTATCGGTTCAAAGTTCCGCTTCCGTTCGTAAACTTGTGATTAACGCAATCGGTACGCTGAATTCGCGTGCTGCATTTTTACGGAGAACAAATAATCACATAAGTCAACGAGTGGAGACGTCACCGACTAAAACACCTGAATAATTTCTCTAAATTCAAAGTTCAAGTCTAAAATCTGTTATTTGGGCAGAGGTTTGTTGTTCTAATGTTGAAATCTGCGAATATTTTATTTTTATATTTCAGGCGCTGGGAATCGTTTGCGTGGGAATAGTCGGTCATGAGCACTCCGTGTATACAATCTCCGCTGAGATCTTTTTCCTCTTAATTGCGACAACGTTTCTGATCGGTACGTTCATTATCGTTGTGAGTTGCCTAGCATCGCTTTCAACGTCCTCCATCATCGTCAAAACCATCTATGTAAGTTCTATAACCTCTACGATTCCAGAACTGTTAGATTAGGATCGAATCGAAAGTAACAATTTTACATTGAGGTTAACGAGTGTATATTTCTTACAGGAACTTATGTACCATGCTATAGCATTCGGATTATATCTAGCTGCATCGTTGACGTATCTGGTGCATGTTTCCAACAGAAACTACGGAAGGAGTTACGAAGTGACGATGGGCGCTGCTGTAAGTCGATTATACTGATACACGTATCTCGGTGCTCGGATTAACCGATTAACCTTTTTTCAGATCTGCGGTTTGGTGAACTCGGCGCTATATTTTTTGAGCACGATCATGGCTGTACGCACGTACAGAGGAATTTAAAGGCATCTTGTATTTCGCCAAGAATTTTCAAACACCTGCCTGCCTTTAAATCGTGCATACAATATGTTTCGCGCCATCTATAGACCGTCGAGAGATTTGGTTCACGCCGGTGTTTCGATATCGAACGCGATTCGAGTATTATCTAAGTCACGATTTTTCATATAGAAGTACAATTTGTCAAACGATATTTGTCGTATTTCACGTGTGTACAAATATTTCTGCTGCATCTTTCGAAACGCATTACGTATCAACGACCACACGATGCTCGTTGCAAACGCACAAAACGATGAAAAAGTTACTATTTCGGTTATAGATTTTTGTTTACTCATTATATAGACTCCCTATCGACCGATATACTGTATCTGCATTTTATACTTCATACGAATTTTCCATATACGTTATTCGTACATACAATTATACAAAGTATATATGTATATATACATACTAACATGTATACTTATTATAAATAATATTTATATTGAAAGAAAACAAAATGAAATAAAGATTGTCTCAAGGACAGATTATTGACATTAAGATAGAAATTGACTGCAACGACATAACGACTGATTAAAATGGTGATCGAAAGTATTAGACACCCATAAAGCTTTGAATCATATAACACTATTATTAATGTTCTCAGGTGAAACGAACATCACCCGCGGTGACACCTGGGGATTACTATTTTCTATGTATTTAATATAATTATTAATTACATAGCAAATAATATGAGCTAATGGCTGCGTTCTTCTTATAGTTTCACATACGTTCTTTTTTAAATAAATGATGTACGTCCTCACGTATTTCAATAATCTAGAAATCTTTAAATAATCTTAATCGATCGGTTACTCCAATGAAATTAATCGATTGATGCTCAATTCTGGACCGTACAGCTTTCATTCTTTATAAATAAATTAAGTTAACGTCGATTATTGCGTGACATTGAAATGTTAATGATTTCTAGAATTCCATAACTGGGAGACAAAAAAAAATACATTGTATATCTGGTTTGTTTTATACCTCGTCTCTGATAATTTTGGGTATCTCCGATCGAATGTTGATTTAGGAATTTCTCTGACACCACAGCGACGGTTACGCCATGACGAAATAATCGGCGACAGAAGTAACGATTTATGGCAGAGTGAAATAAAGCACCACCGACCAGGACGTGTTTGTTCTTGTAATTTGAGCGACATTTTATTTACCTGCACTCGTGTATTATCACATATTATTTACAATTCCAACGATGAAATTACAATTTGGCAGGGTCGCAAGTGATCGCGACTTCTCTGTATGTACAATGTTTCGTAAATGTTTATATAAAAATATCAATCCCAAACATTAAATCGATTGCTTTACAGTTCTCGACGGGACGGTAAATTATTTCGTACAATGTGCGGACGAATGTTGCTATCGCGATCGTCGATAATACGTATATACACCTATATATACATGTACAAACATTTTGAGAAACAATGTTGGGACCGGATCTGACGTAATTTGGATTTTAGCGGGCAATTGTATCTTAAAGCCATGTACGCTGGTGTGGACACGCGAGTGCGCGCGAATTTCAAAGCGCAAGTCGCCGTTTAACGACTACATTATTCCTGAATTACCAACGAACCAATTGGTGCTTCGAAATAAGTTATCGAAGGCACATTCTCGGTACATGATCACAGGAGGACGCAGGTACTATGAACAGGTTCGGTCGAATAAGAACTGAACGTTACAAGCAGAACTATTGCAAAGATTTGTTCGAACCCGTGGATGCGCGGATAATTTGTTGTCGATCGAAAAGAAAGAACGCCTAGCTACGTATGCGGAAAGAAAACACGAAACAAAACACAAGGATCATCCTGTATCCGTAGTAACATATTTCGGTGACGTTTCGATGGATGGTTCGTCGTGCAATGATAATAATAATAATAATAATAATAATCCAACTTGACGGTAATAATAATGACGTATGGCTACGATGATGACAACAATGACGATGAAGATGACGATGATCATAATTATAATAATAACAATAACAAGAACAATAATAATAATAGTATTAATAATTATAATAATGACAACAACAATAATAATTAAAAAAAGAGAAAATGCATTCCACTATGCAGATATACATCCTATCGTTCGAATGTTTATCGTTTTCCGGCACATTCGAAGTTGGCTTTTTTTCTTTTTTCCCCTATATTTCTTTTCTGCTTTGTACACGTTGTATAAATAAGTAGGAGCAATAACTTTTTTCTTTTTTTTTTTTTTCTTCTAACGTCTATAGCGTGGTAGAAACTTACGCGTAGAGATATATCTACAATATGTATAAACCATTGTTGTATTGCAAAAACGTGTTGTTCGCAAACGCTTTGGAAGCGATGAAAGATTCCCGGCTCCGAGGCATGGACGATCGAGAACATTCGTCTTTTCTGCGATTAATGTCAATGATACAATACAAAATGGCAGTTGTTTGCGATAAAACGCGCGACGAAAGGGGTGTCGAACGCGAGAATATATTCGCTCTAATACTGTTGCCACACTCGTACGTCTCGAACGCACGACGACGCGTTCTCTACGATTGAAAATATATTGCGCGAACGAATACCGATCGAGTACGAGGCGCTCAACGCAAGTACGTGCACGGGCACGGGAACAGATGTCGATTCGATCGATCGATCGGTCAAGGTAGGTCTCCGCCAGAACCCCGACATGATCACAACTATGGCACAATACTACCTGCGAAAGTAACTCTATTTCACATGTCCAGAGACAGTAAAAATTGTCTATCCATACAGAAGTTTCGAACAATGAATAAAAAAAATATTTCCTTCGTTACTCGTAGAATAAAAATCAAAATTTGAATTACAGAACGAATCATTTCACAAAGAACAAACGAACGTTTAACTTATTCGGCAACCGAACAAAATTTTCCCCAGATTTCCGAGTTACTTCCGTAAGAGGAGCTGTTGGTCCGTGTCATGAGTCTAGCGGGAATCTACTTTTATGCCTGACGTTCACTTGAGAGTATTATTTTACAGTTCGATATCGAGAATAAGAGCCTTTTTAACACGAGCAAATGGAGTGATCGCTCGCGTTCGTGGAAAAGAAACTCTTTGCTTTCAAATAGATTTCAATAGCGACAGTCTCCGATGGACACCAGGCATTTTATTTCGCTACCAAGACGCGCAATGTGAAAAAAACGCGACGAAGCGGATTCGAAAGACTCGAAGAAACTTCGATGAAATCTTTATTCTGGCATTTCTCGATCGTAAGGCACGCAATCTTCAATAAACGAAATTGGGATTTTATAAAAATGTAAAATTCTCTCTCGCCTTCGTCGTCTCTATCTGTTCTCAGCTCGAGCGTGCTGTCTTTCTTTTCGCGCATCTCTCGCTCTCTCGGACATACACGCATCCACAAACAACCACACACATGCGCACTGTCGTTCGCTCCCTTATTCTATTCGCAGATCGTGCTGAAACACTACGTTTTTGATTCGACTTACTTGGCTGCGCGAAACGTTCGCGTATTTCGAAATAATGGCGTCCAAAAAAAAAACGATACTAGATGTCGTGGGAAACATTGCTCGCGACAGAAGTATCGGAAAGCTGATCGGAACGACGCAGAGTAGAAGGAAGCAATTCCATCGGCCGTGATCCCTCCCCCCAGAGAGGCACACGGCTGTTTCCTGCTTCCCAGTCCACGTATCGCGTTGCATTCTTGCTTTCGTTTACTCTTTCGATCGGATGCATACAGCAAAATTGGGCATATTTCATTCACGAATGGCGAATACAAATTTTCGATTCGTATGTAAATTAAAACCCATTAACGGATCTTCTAACCCTTTGCGAACGGTGTCTGGATATACTAGATTCGTGGTTCTTAACCTGTGGATCCGCGGACCCCGAAGAATAGCGTAAATTTCTGTTTTATTTAGTGTATTGTATGCGAATAAATCAAGATTTACAACATTGATTTATCTCACACCTAAGAACGTTATTTTGAGAAATATTGGACAAACAGGGTCCACGAATTGGATCGCCAAAAGAGATTCGTAAAAATGTAAGGTTAGGAATCTGATAATTCTTTAAACCGCCCTCTACGAATTAACAAACATTGATCTCCTTGATACGTACGTAACAGATCATTAAATTTAGAATAAAATTTGTCTAGCAAACAAAGTAATTTTTAGGCATACGTTAATTCTCTGTCTTGTTAACGTTTTTTTACTCCAAAATGGCTGCCCTCAAAGGAAATCGACACTTAAGCTAGCAAAAGCACGGACAATAGCTGTTTTACGAGCGAATCGAACACTTTTCTACGTTATTCCTGAATAAAATTTGCCCGACTCTGACACACGATAGCGCGTGCTTGCCTTTACATTTCGACGCGCGTTCTTAAATCCTAACGGCGATTGGCACGCGGAGTCGCGGTATGAAAGAATAAATAAAGTCGGGTAGGGGTGTGGCAGGGAATACGGAACCGCGAACCGCAATGATCACAAACTTGCACGAACCTGAATGCCAGCGACGTTAATCTCACGGCAACTCTCAGCGCTTTCTCGCGACTAATCAGTTTCGCACGATCGAAAGAGCGTGGCAGGAATGAACGTAGACGGGGGCAAAGGTAGCCAGGCTTGTCTCGAGTAACCGTGCGTTCGCCAGAGTGGCAAGAAGAGAGAGACAGAGAGAGAGTAAACAAGAGTCCGTCGCGCAAACAAGCTCATCGTCAATGTTGCGTCTCCGTTATGGTTTTCACGGTGTCCAAGTTCTGCTTTTCGTGCTTCTCCTCGTCCTTATCTGGATTATCCCAGCTCTGTCTCTCCCCGGAACCGAATATTATATAGAAAACGGCGCACCCGATGTAGACGCCCGCCGAAATCATGAACACCATCCTCCATTTTGCATGCGTCGGCTGGAATGCGAAAATTTAGTTTTCTAAGTACCAGAATAACTGTAGATGTCAAGCACACGTCCAATAGTGGTAACTAAACATCCAAATGAAATTGTAGTATGATAATTACCGGTCCGTCGATTATGTATCCAGCTGTGATTGGCGCCAGGAGACCAGCAAGATTGGCCAGACAATTGGTGAACGACATCAACACTCCGGCGAACCTTGGAGATATGTCGAGGTGATTCACCTTGAATCCTGAGTAAATACCACCGTTTAAGCCCACGCCGATCGTTAGAATGGTGACCGTCAACCAAGAGATGCATCCGGTGTAGGAGGCGGCTACCAGCGCTACCGCGGGTCCAAACTGACCGATGCTGTTGATAATCTTCCGTGTGTACGTGTGGTTGAATTTTTCGCTGGATATCATCCAATCGGCAATGTGAGAGATCACCATGGAGAATATCCACATGGCTAAGTAAGGGAGCGAGGAGATGGAGCCATTCTAAAACATGGACGACAGTTTACATAACCTATATACCACTCGATCAATCGACTGTTAGACGACCAAACGTGTCCTCCATTTTACCGATTTAATGTCGAAGTGCAGGATTTGTTTCATGAATGTCGGTAGCTCGGTCATCAGCGTCTCGTATCCGTAGTTCTGACCCATGTGCGCGATCAGTATGGCCCAAAATGGCAGCGACGTCACGATCGACCGCCATGGGACGGGTGGGGACTGGAAATATATAAAATTAATTATATGCAGGTACATTATAAATTTTCATGACAAGTTTTACTCACGGATGCTCCTGCGTTGCCCCACAGAGCGCTAAGTATGTACTTCTTCTCGTCCTCGGCGATACGAGGGTGCGATTCTGGGTCCTCGTAGACCATCAGCAGAAACGCGATGCACCATATGGTACCTACTGCCCCGAACACGTAAAAGATCGATGGCCAACCACCGCTAAATCCGTGTTCAGACAGAATACCGCTCAGCGGCATCGATATTACCGTACCGAACTGAGCACCTGGATGGAAAAACAGACGAAAGGGTTCGATTAAAAACGCGGCAGCGTGGCGTGCAGCCATAAATAGTAGTGATTTATAATAGTAATAATAATAATAAAAAAGATGAAGGAGAGGCAGAAGCATCCGACGGATTAGAGAGAGCAAGTATCCCGATAAACGGAAGATATCCGAGGCGGCCTGGTAGGTCCCGTTTCCATCGATAGCAGTTAGAGAGCGCGGACCAAGACGCGTCCGGACGGACGGACTGGCGGAGGGAGAGCTACGCGGAAACAAAGATCGCAGTGAACCAGCTTACCGGCGTACACGAAGGCTCCCATCCTGCTGCGTTCGTTCGGCGGTATCCACTTGGCCAGCATCGCGTGCGTGCAAGGCACAATTGGACCCTGCAATAGGGATAATCCATTCCTAGGGGGAGGAAATACACCCGAACGATCAAAAAAGCGTTCACAATATGATGGGGCTTTTATCGAATTTTACACCCCTTTCTCATTTTTTACTTTTCTTATTTACCCGTCAATTTTCGTTTCGTGAGCATTTCTCTATACCCGGGAAAAAAGAAATCGATTTTTTTTTTTTTTGTTCAACTGGCAGCAATTTAGAGGGGCAACAAAGAGGCGACACGGCTGACCAATCCATTTTGATGGGGCTTCCTCGATAAAAGTCACGAACTCGGGTCCGCTCGGTGACTTTTAACGAGTATAGTAAGCAATCTTTATACAAGAATCGACATTTCTCATCTCGATCCGAGGCTGATACCGAGAGAAATTAAATAGCAATAAAATAAATTAAAAAAAAAGTATTTTACGTTATTTCGTGATGAAAATATTACCAATGCGTAGGCGTGACTTTCCCGATTAAAATGAGTACAAACACGGCCCCATTCGGACCATCTTAAATTATACATCGTCGATAGTTTTTTGAAAATCACTATGATGCCGTATAATTAAAAGTGGTCCGAATGGGGCCGTGTTTGGACTCATTCTCATTGGGAGAAAGTCAGTAATGCTTTGATAATGTTCTCGTGAATGATAATGTTAACGATTGTTTTCAGTTATTTCTTGATGAAAATATTACCAATGCGTAGGCATGACTTTCCCGATTAAAATGAGTCCAAACACGGCCCCATTCGGACCATCTTAAATTATACATCGTCGATAGTTTTTGAAAATCACTATGATGCCGTATAATTAAAAGTGGTCCGAATGGGGCCGTGTTTGGACTCATTCTCATTGGGAGAAAGTCAGTAATGCTTTGATAATATTCTCGTGAATGATAATGTTAACGATTGTTTTCAGTTATTTCTTGATAAAAATATTACCAATGCGTAGGCATGACTTTCCCGATTAAAATGAGTCCAAACACGGCCCCATTCGGACCATCTTAAATTATACATCGTCGATAGTTTTTTGAAAATCACTATGATGCCGTATAATTAAAAGTGGTCCGATTGGGGCCATGTTTGGACTCATTCTCGTTGGGAGAAAGTCAGTAATGCTTTGATAATGGTCTCGTGAATGATAATGTTAACGATTGTTTTCACCTCGAACCCATCAAAATCAGGAATTAGTCGACCGAATCTTCTCCTTGTGGAGATCAAGATCTAGACGAGTTCTTTTTAAATAAAAACTGGACGATAATCTTCAGAGACTAATATTTTTGGCATTCGGGTTATACTCATCGGCCATTACGTTTCAAGACCAATTATGTTCAAAAAGTGCTTGTTCAGGCCATGATCTCGGGTTGTAAGGAGGATGTCGTGGGTCCAAAAATCTGAGTTGCTTACCTCGCCCAGACCTTGAATGAACCGAACGACCATGAGCCAATAGTAGTCGGAGTGCGCGGATAGTGGTACCAACAATCCAAACACAGAGTTAATCAGCATTCCGATACCGAGGAAGTACTTCGATCCGTAACGTTTCGCGAGTATACCGAATGGTATCTGCGTGATCACATAGCCGTAAAAAAAGGAACTCAACAGATAGCCCTGCATTTTACTGTTCCACGGGAACTCTCCGTCGCTACCGCTCTGGAACAAAAAATTTAGCGAAAAATATTTATCGGGCTTTGTTCGTGATAAAATATTACAAAAAAAATTTGTCCAATTCTGGTGTTAATTCGACGAACGAATCCGCCAACGATCCGTAACTTTGAACCGCGTGGGTTGCCGCGCTAACTGGTTGAAATAGGCGGTCCAGTCGAGAGTCCGTTTAACTATTTTTATCAGCATTTTCGCTGTTCGCCTGAAATGGACCAAACGTCACCGTGACGTCTATAATCCTTCGACTAACGCACATTCGAAATTAAAAGCTACTCGCGATGTAAGAAATGAGTACAGTTATTAGAGTAATACCAGCTTAACCTCAAAAAACCAAGGCGGTGTCACTAGCGACATCTGTCCCGCAATAGCTGGTGTACTGACTATTGCGAAACATTTTGAAGTTCAATTTCAATTTTGTAATTGTTGAATTATTCAACAACATGAAGTTTTATATTTTTAATGAAATAGAAGGATTTTTGTATATTATGTAAAAATAGTAGGAAATTGTTCGCTCGTATAACGGTAAAGTAAACTTTGAAAGATAAAGGAGAAGGATTTTCATGTAACTGTGCACGGAAGACTGACTCAGGTCATACTTGCTTATCACGTTTTACATTACATACGACAATAAATTTTTTTATTTATTTTCTAAACTTTTCCCATTATTACCAAACTGTAAAATGTTTAAACAATAATAGAAGAAAATCTATTGTTTTTTAACGAACTACACGACTCATATTATGCAATCTCCCGGTATGTGCGATATGTTGAAAAAATAAATCCTAAAGTTAGTATCTTCATATTAAAAAAATATGGGTTATCTAATTATAGCAAGATCAGCACATTAAAGCAGTTATTTTAATTTAGAAAAGATTGTGATAAAAGAAACGTAAAAAAGAAATATTCATTATCTTCGATTATATATGCCGTTTAGGTATTTGTCCAAAATTTTATTTTCTCAGATTATATCAAAGGGTGTTCCAAAAATATACAAGTCGAGATATGCAAATTCCTCGCGCGAAAATAAATCAGAAAGTCTTTTACCATGTTGCAATCGGAGACTTTGAAGTGTCAGTTTTTGGTTACGATTTATCTGAGGCTTTGTTATCCAGATGTAAGCAGTTAAAGTTTACCGATGTGATTTCTGCTACGCGCCATTGATATCCCAATCAGCTGATAATACGGCTGCACACACACACGTACACACTCGCGTGCAAGAAACGTGTACTTGTGCGAGGAAACTGGTTATATCTAGATAACGAAGCCACAGATGACAAAATAGTAAAAAAACTTCACGATTTCTTTTCGCCCGAAGAATTTGCATATTTCGCCTAGTTAATTTTTTTTTCGAAATACCCTATAAATCATGATGCCATAAGAATAGGAAAAAAATCGACAGAAAAAATAGAGAATTAATAACGAAGTCGAATATAAGATTCATATTATACAATTTTCTTTTCTATTCGTACGGAAAATTACCAAAGTTTGCGTTCTATTTTCTCCCACACAATTTTGTCCGAATATAATAATAGTGCTAATTAAATGAAATGTGTAAACGTTCAGTGTTTTCGGTAACTTGGAATTTACAACAAATTGCATTAAAAGTAAAATCTTAAATGCAAATCACTATCACTTAGTTTTTATTAAACACCTTGTTAAGTGACACAATAGAACGGTAATACCGATAAGTATCAATTCTAAAGCATCGCGGTCAAGTAACAAACAAGTATAATAATAAGTAGTACCTGGTATTATTGAGATATACTTGTTGACATTTTTTATAATATCGATAAAATTCAAAGATCAAGTACCATTGCGATCTCAACAAGACCACAATATAGCTGATCTAATAGCATCAAAGTTGAACATTTATTAGAACAGTTTTGAATAAATGTTAAAATCAAACATGAAGCGATGGCTCGAAGAGCGACAAGGATAGGAAAATTTTCGTTATCGACGTTGCTAACCGTACGATCGCATTAGCTTTATTTCTAGATATGAATTGTAGACAGGTATCAAACTTGATGTAATTGATTTGTATCGACACGACAATCGCGGACATGACGAACCTCAGAATCGTTCGTAATCGTTTCATTCAGTGAAACGGTCAAAGAAAAACAATCTGACGTCAACGTATCGGATAATATTTAAACATGTTTCACAAGAAACGTCTACCTACGTTTTTTCCTTATCGATTCGGTTAACGGCGCTGACTGTCACGGTGATACGGATCGATAGTTTAAATTTACTTAAAAATTAGTTAAATCGGAAAATCGTTTATAGTTAAATATAATCGAATATTTGAACGCTATAGAACTGTCGAATTTTATTTTTCACGTTATAATTGAAAACTAGCGTGGCAGTCGGCGTGTTAAAGGGGAGTACCGTATCTCCAATGCAGATTGACGCAAGAAGCGAGGCAGTGGAGCAAGGCCCCCCCTACATGTAAAAGATTCGGGGCTCGAGCAGCTTCGTACGATACTTACCGTCGCGTTGATGGAAATGTATCCGCATTCGTTCGGTGCCATATCATCGTGGGATTCGTCAGAGGAGATCGCCGTGTGATTGACCATCGCCACGATCGCCACGGACATATTGGTTCTCATCACGTAGGCGTTTGCCATTCCGAGGAACAGCATGAAGGTCACTACGTGACGCGACCCCACCAGCGCTGCAACAACAAACGTTTGCTCGTTACGACACAGTACACGCGTAATAGAGAAAGAGAAACATAAAACACCAACCCTTTTGGTATTAGCGAAACGCGAACGGTAGCAACGGGGGGAAAAAATCGTAACACGATAGCAACCGTAACGGCGATAACGCTATCGTCTGAAGTAGCCGACGTTCTGGAAACGCGACGACAAGCAACGGTAACTCGAATCTGAGATTCGACCATAATTCTCAGGAAATATCTATCAGGACTATGGATAAAATAGCTTTAATCTAATTTTCGGTTATTTTATAATACAAGTATATATCTCTCTTTAAAAGCGTCTCTGGAACGGCTCGAGTGTCAAATAACGCGACGCAGTTCGCCCGAGTCCCCCATTCCTATCTGCTCCTTGTGTAAATAGTCGTTCTTCCACGGAATCACGGCCAACATAACCTAGTCGCGTCTTATATTCGGGATTTTGTTTCGAACCAAGCTTACTTTTCAATAATATCAGACACGTTAAATAAATTCGTGTTGTTTTTAGAAAAAGTGATTTATTTTATGCTTCGAAGCTTCTTCCGTTCGGATACCTTTGTAACTTTTTAGAAACTGCGCAAAAACCTGTGATTTTATGGAGCTCGCGACGCATGCTGGCGGAAAGAAAAACACGAATGCGTTCGAGAGCCAAGAAAGATAGGTTAACTAGTCCGCTCGTGAATTCTCGACCAATAATCGAATCACTTTGTATTTTGCATGTAAATAAACGTGTTACGTTAAACTAAATTGGTGATCGTGGCTGGACGATACGGTAATAGAATCGTTTGAACCGAGTGTATTCCTCGAAAGCAATCATCTCAGCTTCACAGTGGCGGATAAAAGGGGGGCTGCACGAATTTTTATTCGTTTGCAAATATTGAACGATCATCGAAACTTTAATATTTCGATTTTTATTTATAATTTTTACTTTCCTTCGATTTGGTAATACTAATATCATAGGCACAAAGAGCAATAATATGTACCGCGTATCATGTCGGATCTGGTAAATAGTTGATCTCATTAGTAAGGCTTAACTATCAGATCCTGCCTTAAATGCGACGCTATTAATCATGCGAAGAATTGGAGACTGTCCAAACGATTAATAATGTTACGTCAAAGACTGGATCCACTAGATAAGCTTTACCTGCAGCTAGATGAAACGTAATAATATTGCTTTTTATACCAAAAATATTGCGTGTTACATAAGAGAAAAATTTTGTCCAATAAATTGGGACCTTTGCTTCTCTAATTTTTCCTTTCTCTAATTATTCATTTCTCGCTTCCTTGAGGATTCCTTGGCGATTTATTCGACGTTGCAGAATATTTTCTGGGACGTAATTAATGTTGCAACAAATGCTACGATATAATAGGTAATTGTTCAATAGGTAGGACAAGAATAAAGACGCGTGACAAAATACATCAGCAGCAAAAATAGGGAACATTTGAAAATACAAATAGATTTGCTGAATTATTTCAGAAACAAACGTTAGAGACTGTAAAAAAGTATTGACCTAGATATTATTATTAACAATGAACAGATCCGGCTGCCAAACACGAAATAATTATTCGTTGAGCAAAAAATCCATATCAAATACAAATGTAATATCCTTACATAATGTTTAATAATAGCATCTGGAAAACTGATGCCAAAAGTGTTATTCTGTATTACAAAACGGAAATGGTATATTTGAATCATGTATCAACGGATATGCTCGTTATGCTGTTTCATAACAGGTCTAAAAGAAATCGATTAAAAAATTGATTTTTTCGTAAAAAAAAATGATTTTAATTTTATGAAAACTTTGTTACACGAAAACTGACAACCTCGACCATTTAAGACTGGTCAACCGGATACTTTGTTTACTTTTGAAAATAGAAAATAACGCTCACGGCAGAAAATGACTTGTGGTGACGTTCTTTTGGTTGCTGATGGAAATGTCAAGAACTTTTGAAGATCATCTTTTCATCGACCTTCTAACAGAGAATTTTAAGAGGAATACAATGACCTCCATGTCGCTTAAGGACCAATTCAAGGTCATCCAGGATCACCGAAGGGCAGTTACATAGGAAACCATTTTGTTTCGAGAGAGACAGAGAGATGTAACAGTTCAAGAATTTGCATCTTTACGATCCAAGTTCTAATTTGAGTGTTCGAAATGGTGACCTTGAACGGCGATACATACTCTGAAGCGGTTTGATATGGATGTTATTGCATTTCGGGCTTTATTTTCGTCTACTGCAACGTTAACTTTTCTTATAAGGTATTTCATATCTGCCTTAATTGTTGGCATCTTGCTATACACTTCTTATATTCACGATATGTAAACAAACAATGCTTCTGGATTCTCTCTTCATTTAATATATTTCTGTAGGATCTACTTTATCAGTGCAAGATAAGAAAACTATTCAACAGAACAAAATATACATTTTATTATCCAAAAAATGGTTAGAAGTGTAATACTAATACTTTTTCGAAATTGATTTTCTCGGAAACAAACGTTCACTTGTTTAACTGTTAAACAATTATAAATAAAACTTAATCGTATCTGTCAGGATGGAAGACGGCTGGAGGGATTTTGAAATTTGGAACGCATATCTAAAGTGGACCAACTTAAAATATCAGCTTTATAACATCTCAAAATGCCTGCCCGGAGGGGGAGGGGTTGTCTAGAATGCCAACTATAAAATGTACAATATCTCGTTCATACTCGTTCTCACAATAAAAAATATTCGGGACATAATTTGTTGGAAATTAAATTTATAATCTTTTTTGATACAGGCACAATTGAATAAGACTAAAAAAAAAAAAGGAAACTGTTGGTAAATTCGCTTCGATGCGGTTGAAATCGTGGGTAATAATTGGTATTCGAATGAAATTCTGCCCATTGTTTCTAGAAAACATCGCGAGGATCGCCGATCATCCGCGCGCGTTCGTTTTGGCGTGCGTCGCGGCGCCGACAATGTTTAGCGCCAAGGACGCAAGGTCGAGTCTCGTGAGAACGCCGATCGGAAGTATGGAACGCGAGGATCGACGTTGCAGCGCGTCGATAACGTCAATATTTTTATTTTTAATTCGTTAAACATTACATTTGACTGTCCCGAACCGCACACATACTCGAGTTAATTTTTAACTCGAGCACATGCTCAGTAACATCTTACTTTCTCGCGCGCGTAAATTTAGAATATTTGCTTCTCGAACACCACCACTAGATCGTGCAACTTTAAATATCTTTTTAACGATTCTGTTAACCTCTTTGCAAAATCGTCCCGTTCTTTCGAAACAGTGGCTCGTGCAAAGTGTTTTACGGAACTCAACTCGTCGAGAAAAAAGAACATTTCTACGTCTTTACGAAACCTGAATAGATCGGCCAAAGAGGTCTGTTTCGTTGCTGAACGTATTACTCGGATTACGTGTTCTACCGATGAGATCAGCATGTTGCATTCTACAAACGAACGGTCGAGATTCGAACAATGAAAACGATCTAATTTTTTTTTCTCTGAACGACCTAAAAATTTGTCCAACAATTTCTACGAAAACGTTACGTCAGCTATCATACGCCGATTAGCGCGTCAATCCTGCGTCTGTTCCGTAAATGATTCGTATTTACAAGTGTGCTTGATGTATTAAAAGTATCCAAAATACGATAAAAAAACATGACATTACTTCTTTTATATAATCGTCCTTGATATTGTAATTGTACTTAAATTTTCGATAAAAAAAAAAATCTTATGGCCGATCTTAATAGTTCCCATAAATAAACAAACATGATAATTATTCCATCGTGTCCCTTCTATGTACCATCAAAATATCTAAGAAATCACATTCTATTTTACTCTGAAATTCATCGCACATTTGGATCTCAAAATTGTATAAATAGAACGATTACTCATGCAAGCTCTGTACGCGCAAAAATAGATACAATTGAACAATCATTAGAAAGTTTAAAATTGTCCTTGCAAAGCATTGTAAATTCATTATTTTGCTAAAATTTTATGAGCGATATTTACTATGTATAATCTATATTTTGTTGTTTCTTATATATTGCATCTTTTGTATTAAAGGGTTTTTCTTCCTGTTAATAAATGTATAATAATAATAATAATAATAATAATAATAATAATAATGATGATCGCCGAACTCTTGTTGCGCCGACGCTTCGAGGTAAAATTCTCAGTGGCGTCCCGACGATTGGCTCTGTTCGAGTTCCGTCGTATTTGTGCAACGCTTGCCAAATAAATCGTCGAAAGAGAAACTACGCAACGAGCTGTGAAGCATGTTTTGCGAACTACCGACACAACTTCCTGCTCCCGGTCGGAAACGCTCGATGCCGCGGCAGATCGACGAATGATCGCGCCCTCGATCCAAACCGACAATTCCTTCAAAATGATTATCAATTATCTGGGATCGACCGAACGACCTCGACTATTGCGTCACATCGAGCGCAGAGTTGATTACTACACGCTCGAGATGAAATTTTCGCAGCGTCCGCTTTTTTTCTGTTTGTTAAGTAAACGGATCACTTCGCTTACATGCATCGTACACGTTATAGGTAACAGCCGCGTGAGCAAACATACACGAACGAACGGGAGATAAAGAAGTTTGACGAAGAAACGAAGTAATATTAATGATAAGTGTGAATGCTCGTAGTATCGAATAAAAATATTTTCGTGCCAATTATTTTCATCGTGTTTCGCTGGATAAAAGTATACTTGTGTGGAAAACCTAAGCCAAAGAGTAAAGTACAAGGTGAGTTACTTTCTGTGAAAATAAAAGAGAAAGAAACTCACCAAAGACTGCGTGTACATTGTTACGAATATAAACGATATCAGCGTTTCGACGTGGGTCGTTAATAACTATTATAGTTAATTAAAGTGCACAAAAGAATATTAGATATTTATACAAATACCTAATAGAGATATTTATAGAGAGGTTAAATCATTTAATTTATAATTTACAACATTTAAAATATCAAAGAAAC